CCCGGACCCTCCCTTGGCCACATAGGGGCAAGGAATGAAGCCATGAAGCTACCAAGGCCTTCCCATTCCAGGAAAAAAGTCACCTCCTGACATTTTTATCCCAAGGATTCCAAGGAAAACCTCACCTCTTGCCTCCAAGGCTTTTTGGTGGGAGGCTGAACCTGCAATTCCAGGGAAAAAAATCCTCCCATTTTTATCCCAAGGCTTGTTTTTTGGGGGAGGGAGGGATGAATCTCTCATTCCAGGGAAAACCTCACCTCTTGCCCTTTTCATCCCAAGGATTTCAGGGAAAACCTTACCTCCTGCCCCCAAGGCATTTTGAGGGAGGCTGGACCCCCCATTCCAGGGAAATTGTCCATGGAAAACCTCACCTCCTGCCCCCAAGGCTGTTTGGGAAGGCTATGGAGAGCAGGATGAGGGTCACCAGCACGTGGGTGGATTTGGCTTGTAGCGAGGCCTCTCACTGATGAGCTCAGCCTTATTCCAAGCCTGTGGTTCCATGGGATCCATAGAATAAAGGCAACTTGAGGTGACAGGGTGCTTTCACCTCAGGCAGAGAGCCAGGATTTGGGATAATACCCCTGGAAGTAGCTCTGGAGCTGCTCAGGGCAGGGACACAGCCCCCAGGATGATCCAGGATCCTGTTGCCTCCACTGGGACCCATTGGATCCATTACTTCCCCTCCCCCTGGGCAGGGACAGCTTCCAACCAGGAAATCAGTTGGAATGTTTTCCAAACAAGCCCCAAAATAACCTCTTGCAGCCTAAAAATGTGCTGGGACAGCGTTTTTCCACACATCTGGATCTCACACATCTGTCTGACCCTGACCCCTGCTCCCTGCTGGGACAACCAGTGACACCAGTGCCAACTGAGACGGCCCCACACCCTCTCGTCCCCCACTGCCACCCAGTTTTGGGGTGTCCCCACTCAGCCTCGGATCTTGGAGGTCCTGGGGGGACAGGGTCACAGACATACCTGTCCCCAGTGGGTCCAAGGACACACAGGAACACCCCACACTGCCCTGAGGGGACACAGGGACACCCCACACTGCCCTGAGGGGACACAGGCACACCCCAAACTGCTGAGGGGACACAGACGACACTTGTTCCACTGTCCTTTCTCCTCTTCCAGGTGGGCCGTGAGGCCATGGCAATGCTCCTGGAGCCTGGAATGCAGAGCCTGCGGCTGGGTAAGGATGTTCCCGGCTGGAATGGCACTGGGTGGGGTGTTCCCTTGTCACCCCCAGATGTCTGTGGCACCTGGTGTCCCCCCAAAACCCATGTCGTTGTCCCTCCTCCCCTTCAATCCATCCCTTCACCCCCCATGCTGCTCCTGCCCTGGGATAATCAGGACCAGCTGTGGGAGGAAACCTGATCTGACCATCCCAACCCAGAGCAGGAATTACCCCCCTGAGGGTCCTCCCACCCCCCTTGGATCACAGGAATGATGTTTCATGACCATGACTCTCCAGAGCCCCTCGGGGCGTCATTGGTGTCCACCCCCCACCCCATCACGGGGCTCTGCCGCACGAGGAGGCACCAGAGAGATGTTCCTGTTTGTCTGGGATCAAATATTCATGGGATAGACATGGGATACAGGGAAAGGCACTTACAGAGCAGGTGTAAGGGACAGGAGACATGTCATGGAGATGGGAAGAGCCCCCCCCCAGCACGGCTCCTGGGGGGGGACATGGCAATCATGTCCCCAGCACTGTGCTGTGCTGGTGGCCTTGGATCTCTGGGCAAAGCAAGGATCAGCCTGGCCCCAGCTCCATGGATGATGCTGTTGGAGGGTCCTGGAGAACCCCCAGGTCAGGTCTTGAGCTACCAGGGGCATCCCAGTACATCCCAGCTCCCAGGAACCAGTGACACTGAGAGCTGAGGTGGATTTGCCTTGAACACAAAGGCAAAGGAGAGATGAGTTTTGAGCTTCCATGAGGAAAGACCAAGGGGATTCCTCTTCCCAAACCTTCTCCAGAGTCCAGCTGGGGATGGGTGTTGGTCATCCCTGATTTCATGTCCAGATCCCTGCAGGATCCTGGCTGGAGAGGCAATCCCAAAGCTCAGGTCTTGGGACAGATGGTCCCTCTGCTTCCCTGGTGTCCCCACCTAGACCTCACATCCCATTCCCACCCCATCCAGAGCCAGCTCAATCCCTGAGGAAAAACTGAGGAGGTTTCTCTGTTCCGAAACCTCTCCAGAGTCCAGCTTGGGGTGGATGTTGCTTATCCCTGATTCCATGTCCAGATCCCAGCAGGATCCTGTCTGGAGAGGAAATCCCATCCCATCCCACCACACCCCATTCCATCTCCATCCCATCATCCCATCCCTTCCCATCCCATCCCTTCCCACCCCTTCCCATCTCATCCCATCCCATCCCACCCCACTATATCCCATCCCATCATTCCACCCCATCCCAACTCACCTGTGTTCCCCCAGGTGCCAATGGAGAGGGATGTCCCACTCCATCCCCCCCTGGATCCCCAGGGACATCCCATGACAGCTGCAGCATTGCCCCCCTGACACCCTCTCAGTCACCGGTAAGTTGGAGCCCAGTAAGGGCACTGGGGGTCCCAGTAAGGCAGTTTTGGGGTTCCACTAAGGGCATTGTGGGGTCCCCAGTATGGCACCTGAAGAGTTCCCAGTAAGGCTATTGTGGGGTCCCATTAAAGTAGTCATGGGGCCTCCCATAGGGTTGCTGTGGGGACCCAGTAAGGTGATTGTAGGGTCCCAGTAAGACCACTTTGGGATCCCCAGTTAGGCAGTTATAGGGTCCCCAGTACAGCTGTTGTGCTGTCCCAGTAAGGCCGCTGTGGGGTCTGTTTCCCTGTCCTTGTCCTCCTGATCCTTCCCTGGTCACTGTTAACCTCCACATCCCCTCCCAGTCTGACCATTATCCCCACCAGTACCGCAGCATGGATCTATTCCTCTCGAGGGAATGGGATTTTCAGGATGAAGGGGCTTTTCCAGCCCAGGAATGACCCACAAGGCAAAGTCTAACTCCTCAAATCTCCTGCCCTTATCCTGCTCCTCCCTGGTGCCACCAGGGGTGGGAGGACACATTCCAGAGCTCTGGCACGTGCTATCCATGCACATTCCAGTGCCATCCCCTCATCCATGCTGATCCAAGGGTTTTTCCTGGTTACTTGTGTCTGCACTAATCAACTCTGGGGATTTTAGCTTCCTTGTGGTGGTGACATGGAGATGGAGCTGGTCACATCCTCATGGCTTCATCAGCATGGGGACAGCCAGGAGGGAAGGGACAGGGACACAGGCAAGGGAACAGGGAAGCATCAGCTGAGCAGGAAGGGTTTGGGTTGAGTGACATGTAAGGACACCTGGAACAAGGTTACCTAGACTGGGATTGGGCACAGGGAAGGGTTTGGGTTGGGTGATCCATGGAGACATCTGGGTCACCCATGGGGATGCCTGGAATAAGGTCACTTGGAGGAAGATGGGGAGTAAGGAAGGGTTTGGATTGGGTGACTCATGGGGACACCTGGGACAAGGTCACTTGGAGCAAGATAGGGAGCAGGGAAGGGTTTTGGGATAAGTGACCCGTGGGGACACCTGGGACAAGGTTCTCTGGACTGGGATTTGGCACAGGGAAGGGTTTGGGTTGGGTGACCCATGGGGACACCTGGAGCAAGGTCACCTGGACTAGGATTGGGCACAGGGAAAAGGAGGAGGAATTGTCCCATCAATCAGGCTTAATCCTGGAAAAATTAACTATTCCTGGAGCTATTCACCCAATTTCTGGAGGCAACCAGCTCTGTTCCAGCACTCTTCTGGGGGCAGACCCCATTCCTGAGGTTATCCTTGTTTTCCAGAGGAGTGAGGCACGTTCCCAGCAAACTCCTTCCTTCTCCGTAGTGGTGGCCATCGACTTTGGCACCACCTCCAGTGGCTATGCCTTCAGCTTCACCAGTGACCCAGAGGCCATCCACATGATGAGGTGGGTAGCTCCCAGAGGCTCCAGGGATGCTCCCAGGGCTGGAAAGGGACTTTTTGTCCCCAAAAATGTATGGAAGTGGGCTTGCTGGGGTAGGAAATGGAGAAACATCACAGGTGGGTGATGCTGCCTGGAGTGGTGGGTGGAAGGAGGTGTGAAATGAGGATGCCTCAAGGGATGGAACCTCTCTGCCATGGAGACAGGGTGGGAGAGCTAGGAATGTTCAGCCTGGAGAAGCTCCAGGGAAACCTTAGAGCCCCTTCCAGTGCCCAAAGGGCTCCAAGAGAGCTGGAGAGGGACTTGGGACAAGGGATAGAGGGATAGGACACAGGGAATGGCTTTCCACTGCTAGAGGGCAGGGATACATGGGATATTAGGAAGGAATTCCTCCCTGTGAGGGTGGTGAGGGGCTGGGATGGAATTCCCAGAGCAGCTGTAGCCGCTCCATCCCTGGCAGTGTTCCAGACCGGGTTGGATGGGGCTTGGAGCAATCTGTACTGGTGGACGGTGTCCCTGGGTGGCACTGGATGGATTTTATGGTCCCTCCCAACCCAAACCAGCCTGGAACGCCATGAAATTCCTCTCTCTGAGCAGGAAGAGAGACCTATTCACTCCCTTTTGTCCCTCTTGAAGCACCTTGAGGTGGTTCCCATGTAGACGTATTCACCCTTCCAGGACCTGTTCCCTGTCCTGGAGGCTCATGTGCTGCTTCCAACTCCTCTTTGCAGGAAATGGGAAGGAGGAGACCCAGGGGTGGCCAATCAGAAGACTCCCACCAGCCTCCTGCTGACTCCAGAGGGGACATTCCACAGCTTTGGATATACTGCCAGGGATTACTACCACGACCTGGACCCTGAGGAAGCCCGAGAATGGCTCTACTTTGAGAAGTTCAAGATGAAGATTCACAGCACCAGTGTAAGTCCTTCCTCCCACCCCACCATTCATAACACTCCTGGGGTGACCTTGGCCAGGCTGAGTGTTATAATGTTGAAAAAATCCATGGTTTAGCCCATTTCAGGGAGTGGATTTGTGGTTTCTCCCATTGGAAATGCTCTAAAGCAGGTGGAAGTGGCTGCAGGGTGGTGTTTCAGGTGTCCAAACTCCAACTGGTGTGGTTGGCACAGGGAGATGAGCACCTTCCTGAGGGTCACTGATGGGTCAAGGGCACTGAGGCAACAAGGTCAAGTGGAGTTCCTGAAGCAGGTTCAGAGTGCTGTGTCCAGTTCTGGGCTCCTCAGGGCATGAGGAACATTTGTCCCACTGTAGTCCCTTCCAACCTGACCCATTCTGTGACTCTGTGATCCAACCACCTCCCGGCAGCTTGTGTGTTACATTTGCTCTTCCCAACAGGATCTGACCATGAAGACTGAGTTGGAAGCTGTCAATGGGAAGAAGATGCCAGCGCTGGAGGTGTTTGCCCATGCCCTGCGATTCTTGAAGGAGCATGCAGTGCAGGTGGGACAGCTGACACCAGATGGCACTTTCACACCACCAGTGCCCTCTTCCTTCCCAAAGGGCTCCCAAGTCCCACCTGGTGTCCTTGCCACATGTTGCTTCCTCACCCTTCAGGTTCCACATCTCTGGGAGTGTTCCAGGCCAGGTTGGATGGGGCTTGGAGCCACCTGGGCTGGTGGAAGGTGTCCCTGGGTGGGACTGAGTGGGATTTAAGGTCCTTCCAACCCAACCCATTCCATGGTTCTGGGGCCCCTCTGCCATGGAACCAGGCTGGGAGAGCTGGGAATGTCCAGCCTGGAGAAGATAAGGTTCTAGGGAGATCTCAGAGCCCCTTTCAGTGCCTAAAGGGACTCCAAGAGAGCTGAAGAGGGCCCTGGGATAAGGGATGGAGGGACAGGACAAGGGAGAATGGCTTCACCCTGAAAAAGTGGAGATTTAGATGGATACTGGGAAGGAATTCCTGGCTGTGAGAGTGGTGAGGCACTGGCACAGGTTGCCCAGAGCAGCTGTGGCTGTTCCATCCCTGGAAGTGTTCCAGACCAGGTTGGATGGGGCTTGGAGCAACCTGTGCTAGTGGAAGGTGTCCCTGGGTGGGATTTAAGGTCTGTCCCAATCCAAACCGGTCTGGGATTCACTGAGAACCCTCCATGCTCCAGCTGTGGGTGTCACCTGCTGCTTGTTCCCTCACCTGCTGGTTGTCCCCTGACAGGAACTAAAGGACCAGTGCCCATCCCTGCCTGAGCGAGATGCCATCCGTTGGGTCCTCACCGTTCCTGCAATCTGGAAGCAACCAGCCAAGCAGTTCATGCGAGAAGCTGCCTACAAGGTGGGGAGACCCCTGGGTGTGCTGCTCAGGTGCTGACCATCACAGGGGTTGCAGGCATACCTCCTTCACCCCCAAACTGAATCCACACTGCTAGAGGACAGGGCTAGATAGGATACTGGAAAGGAATTCCTGGCTGTGAGGATGGTGAGGCACTGGCACAGGTTGCCCAGAGCAGCTGTGGCTGCTCCATCCCGGGCAGTGTTCCAGGTTGGATGGGGCTTGGAGCCACCTGGGCTGGTGGGAGGTATCCCTGACCATGGCAGGGCATGAAATGGGATGTAATTTAAGATCCATTCTAACCCATCCAAACCAAAAGTGATTGACTGGCTGGATAATTTGTTGAGTTGAGTGGTTTGGTGGGTGGGTGGGTGGTTGAAAGGTTGGTCAATGGGTTTGAGTGGGTGGTTGGGTTGTTGTTTGGATGATTCAGTGGGTGGTTGCATGATTGGTTGTTTGACTGGTTGGTTAAGTGATTGATTGGTTAGGTGAGTGGGTGGGTGAATAATTGTGTGATTGGGTGGTTGTTTGGTCATTTGAGTGGCTGGGTGATTGGTTAGGTCATTGTTTGTGTGGCTGGATGAGTGGTTTGATGGTTGGGTGGTTGATTTGGTCATTGGTTGGGTGTTTGGTTAGGTCATTGAGTGGGTGGGTTGTCAGCTGGGTTGTTGGATGAGTGGTTTGATGATCGGGTGAGTTGTTGGTTGGTTGGTTAGGTCATTGGATGGATGGCTGGGTGGTTGGATGAGCAATTTGATGGTTGGGTGGTTGGGTGGGTGGTTGGTTAGTTATGTCAGTGGGTGGTTGGTTAGGTCATTGGTTGTGTGGTTGAGTGGGTAGCTGGTTGGGTGGTTGGTTGGGTAGTTGGTTGTGTGGATGATTGGTTAGGTCATTGGTTGGTGGTTGGGTGGGTAGTTGGTTAGGTGGATGGCTGGTTGGATATTTGGTTATGTCACTGATTGATTGTTTGAGTGGATGGTTGTTTGAGTTGTTGGTTAGGTCATTGGTTGGGTGTGTTGCTGGTTGGGTGGAGCTGAGTGTGCCAGAAGGTGTCCCCTGGTCCCTGTCCCTTCCTGCCCTGACCAGTGTCCCCCTCAGGCCGGGCTGGTGTCCCCAGAGAACCCTGAGCAGCTGCTGATCGCGCTGGAGCCTGAAGCTGCTTCCATCTACTGCCGCAAACTGCGGCTCCACCAGGTGCTGGAGCTGAGCTGTCGCCCCCAGGGCCAGGATCACACCCAGCACATTGACTCCAGCTTCAGGCAGGGTGAGCAGCACTGGGACCACGGCTGGCAGGGAGAGGGCATGAAGCAGGGCATGGAGAAGGGGATGAAGGAGATGGAGAAGGAACTGGAGCGGAGGATGAAGGGGATAGAGCAGGCAGTCTAGCATTCCAGGTCTGGAAGTCCCCAGAGCCATGCCATCTCCAGAGACCACCATGGATGGGACCCTGGGGGATCCCAGGGAATAGGGGAGATTCCAGGGAATGGAAGGGATAAGGTATAAGTACCTCGCTTAAGTGAGGGAAATCCCAAGGAATGAGGCCAGGGGGAGAGAGAATCCCAGTAAATGGGAGGCATCAATGGGAAAAGGAGGATCCCAGGGAATAGTGGAGATCCCAGGGAATAGTGAGGATCCCAGGGAGTGAGGGAGATCCCAGGGATGCGCCTGGCCCTGCTCCAGCCCCTCTCTGTCCCCAGCCCGGGAGCAGCTCCGGCGATCCCGGCACAGCCGCACGTTCCTGGTGGAATCGGGAGTTGGAGAGCTTTGGTCAGAGCTGCAGGCAGGTATGAGGGGTGGGTGGAGCCCCCAAGCCCACCTGGAGAGGGCGACACACGTGGGGGTCCCCCCGGAGCTGCCTGGACCTCCTGGATCCCCCGGGGAGAGAGAATGGGAGAGCTGGATGTCCCTCCTGTG